GCTGACACTTCGATTTCAGCCCAGTGAGACCACTTCAGACTTCTGGCCTCCGGAAGTGTAAGATAATAAATCTGTGTCGCCCTAGCTGGTTAGGCTCAGCATCAGCCTACAGACCGAAGGCTCCGGGGTTCGATTCTGGTCAAGGGCACATACATACCTTGGTTGCAGGCTCACTCTGGCCAGGGCCCTGGTCCAGGTGTATGCAGGAGACAACCAATTGATGTGTTTCTCTCACATCAGTATTTCTCTCTGTCTTTCCCTCTCTCTTCCACTCTCTCTAAAAATCAATGGAAAAATATCCTCTAGTGAGGATTAAAAAATCTATATATATAAAAGCCTAAGTGACAGAATGACCGGTCAACCGGTTGCTATGATGCGCACTGACCACCAGGGGGCAGGTGCTCAATGCAGGAGCTGCCCCCTGGTGGTCAGTGTCCCCCCACAGCCAACCTCCTGTGGCCCCACCCCTGCTGGCCAACCTCTCACAGCCCCAATGGCCCCAATCACTGACCAGACTGAGGGATCCCACCCATGCATGAATTTGTGCACCAAGCCTCTAGTACAGCGGTTCTCAACCTGTGGGTCGCGACCCCTTTGGGGGGTCGAACAACCCTTTCACAGGGGTCACCTAAGACCATCGGAAAACACATATATAATTACATATTGTTTTTGTGAATAATCACTATGCTTTAATTATGTTCAATTTGTAACAATGAAAATACATCCTGCATATCAGATATTTACATTACAATTCATAACAGTAGCAAAATTACAGTTATGAAGTAGCAATGAAAATAATTTTATGGTTGGGGGTCACCACAACATGAAGAACTGTATTAAAGGGTCGCGGCATTAGGAAGGTTGAGAACCACTGCTCTAGTATAAGAATAAAAAATAATAATAAATTTGTGTTGATTGTAGGTCACTAAGTTTGAGGTAATTTGTAACAGCAGCAATGGGGAACTAATATAGTAGATGACTTATCCTAAGCCTCAGCGTCAGTTTCCCTCTCTGTAAAATGGGTTTACCAACACCCTGAAATGATCATTGTGAACATCAAATAAAGCACATAAGTGTGCTTCCTACACAGCCTGCACCTCCACGTGGGAAGCTGTACTGTTATTACATGTCCATTATATAAAAACTAGAGGCCCGATGCACAAAATGTATGCAAGAGTAGGCCTTCCTTCCCCCAGCTGCCGGCATCAGCTTCCCTCTGGCACCCGGGACCCGGGCTTCCCTCCCAGCCCCAGCTTCATGCGAAAGGTGGTCCAGTAGGACGTCTGGAAGGATGTCTGGTCTAATTAGCATATTATGCTTTTATTATTATAGATTCATAAATATCAATAAGTGAATGTAAAATTAAGTAAAGACCTTTAATAAGCCTAACACCCCAAACCAATGAGCATCATACTGTATTTCCTTCCAGACTTCCTTCTAGTATATAAATATGAATATGCATATATGAAAGTATGTATTCCATATGAATGGGGCCAGATTATGCATACATGCTGTTATGTAATTTGTTTTTCTTCACTTCTTCCCATCATATCTATAAATAAATGACTACTGCAACATTATTTTTTAAATATATTTTTTATTGATTTCAGAGAGGAAGGGAGAGGGAGAGGGAGAGAGAGATAGAAACATCAATGAGAGAGAATCATTGATTGGCTGCGTCCTGCACGCCCCGCATGGGGGATCAAGCCCACAACTGGCATGTGCCCTGACTGGGAATCAAACCATGACCTCCAGGTTCTTAGGTTAACGCTCAACCACTAAGCCATGCCAGCTGGGCTACTGAACATTCTTAGTGGCTGCACAGGGTTTTATGGAATGGATTGTCACTTGTTTTCAACACAATCCCTCATTTAGCAATATTTAAGATGCGTTCACTGTTATGTTCTAGAACAGTGGTCGGCAAACTCATTAGTCAACAGAGCCAAATATCAACAGTACAACGATTGAAATTTCTTTTCAGTGCCAAATTTTTTAAACTTAAACTATATAAGTAGGTACATTGTTATTAACTTAATTAGGGTGCTCCTAAGGCTTAGGAAGAGCCACACTCAAGGGGCCAAAGAGCCGCATGTGGCTCGCGAGCCGCAGTTTGCCGACCACGGTTCTAGAAATATCTCTGCAATATGTATTGTTTTACATGTCCTTTACAAGTACTTTTTGGTGTTTTCTCCTTAGGATAAAATCCCAGAAGTGGAGTTACTGGGTCAAAGAACATTCACCTTTTAAGTTTGAGATACCAAATTCCACATTGGGTGGGACCTCTGTGGTTGATCAATTCTAAGCCAAAAGGGAACCTAGTGATCAACCAGGTTTACCCTCTCATTTCTTTTCTTTTTTAAAAACTTAACATCATCCCCATCTTATTTCTTTTAAATCTGTTTTTATTGGTTTTAGAGAGGGAGAGAGAGACATCAATGTGAGAAACATCTATGGGTTGCCTCCTGCACACCCTTAGTGGGCATGTGCCCTGACTGGAATCAAACCTGCCACCTTTCCCTGCACGGAGACTGCGCACAGCCAACTGAGTCACACCAGCCGGGGCTACCCTCTCATTTGTTTTCAAATATTTCTGTCTCCACAAATTTTATTTTCATGTTCCAGACAATAGATGTAGAACGTGTGACCCACATCTCTTTTAAACGACTGCCCAATACAATGGCATGGCGAATTGTTTAATTCCCACATGTGTTGTTAGAGTTGAGACTGTTTCTCATTTACCCCCTCCTTTGATAGTGGAGAAAACTGAAGTTCAGAAAGTCTCAGGGACTTGCCAAAGGTCACCACCCACCTGAGAAGAGAAGCTGTCTGGTCTGTGGTGAGAGCTGTCTGCAGAGTTGGGAGCAGGTCTGGGCAGAGGCAGGACACCCAA